CCCTTTCGCGCTCCTCTGGAAGCTTACCCCTCCCCACCCCTCCCTGTCCAAAGAGGGTGGGTGGCTTCAACCTCCACTGCCGAAGCCCCCCCCCCCCTCCTCCTTTTTGTCCGTCCCTCGGCAACTACCTCCCCCCCCTTTCGCGCTGCGGAAGCTACTCCTCCCTTTCCAAAAGGGGGGGCTTAGCTAGCTACCCCCCCTTTGAACCCCCCCCTGCCGGAAGCCCCCCCCGCTCCCTTTATTTTGGGCTTAGGGGGGGGGCTTGGAAGCCCCCCCATTTTGGCTAAAGGTAGGACCGCCCAAAACCAAAAGGGCGCCAAAAACCAACAAAGAGCCGACAACCAAAGAGCCACTAAAATCGAAAAGGCGCGAAAACCAGAGGCGCGCCGAACACCGAAGGAACGCCGAAAACCGAAGGTGCGCCGAAAACCCGAAAATGGCGCCGAAAACAAGAGGGGCGCCGAAAACCAAAGGAACGCCGACAACCAAAGGGGCGCCGAATTCAAAAAGGGTGCCGACAACCACAAGGAGCGGAGCGCCGAAAATCAAAAGAGCGTCGAAAAGCAAAGCGGCGCCGACCACCCAAGGGAGCTGAAAACCAAAAGCAGCGCCAAAACCAAAGAGGCGCCGAAAGCAAAGAAAGGCTCCGAAAACCTGAGGAGCGCCGAAAACCAATGAGGCGCCGAATACCAAATGAACACCGAAAACAAGAGCAGCGCCGAAAACTAAAACGGCGCCGAAAGCCAATGAACACCGAAACCCAAAAGAGCACCAGAAACCAAAAAGCCACCGAACTTGAAACGGACGCCGGGAACCAAAGGGGCGCCGAAAACCAGTAGGGCGCCGACAACCAAAGGGTCCTCAAATAACCCAACGGCACGGGAAACAAAAAACAGTGCCGAAAACCAAAGAGACGCCGAGCACCGAAAACCAAAACGGTGCCGAAAACCAGAGGAGCGCCGAAAACCAAACGGGCGCCGACAACCACAAGGGCGCCGAAACCAACGGGGCGCCGAAGACCGAAAAGGCGCCGAAAACCAAAGGGGCGCTGAAAATCAAAAGGGCGCAGTAAACCAACAGGAGGGCGAAAACCAAACCAGCGCCGAACGCAAACAAAAACACCGAAAACTGTGGGCGCCGGAAACCAATGGGACACCGAAAACAAAGGGGGCGTTGAAAACCGAAAGGAGGAACGCCGAAAACCAAAGGGGCGCCGGAAACCAACGATGCGCCGAAAACCAGAAAGGGGCGCCGAAGAACCAAAGGGGCGACGACAACCAAAAGGGCGCCGAAAACGAAATGAACGTAGGGCGCCGAAACAGGGCGCCGAAAACCAAAGGGGCGCCGAAAACTGCAGGAGCGCCGAAAACCAAAGGGGCGCTAGAAACCAAAGGAGGCGCCGAAAACTCAAGGGTGCGCCGACGCCGACAACCAACGACACGCCGAAAACCGAAACGGCGCAGAACAACCAAAGACGCGCCAAAATCCAACGGGGCGTCGAAAACCAAAGGGCGCGAAAAACCACGGGCGCGCCGAAAGCCGAACGGCGCACAGAAAACCAAAGGGCGCCGAAACCCAAGAGCGCTGAAAACCAAGAGGGCGCCGAAAACTAAAGGGGCGCCGAAGATCAAAAGAGGGCCAGACAACCAAGAGGGCGCCGAAAACCAGAGGGGCGCAGGAACCCAAAGGTGCGCAGACAACCAGAAGGGGCGTCGAAAACAAAAGGGTGAGCAGACAACCGAAAGGGGCGTCGAAAACAAAAGGGCGCACAGACAGCCGAAAGGGGCGCCAAGAAGCAAAACAACGCCGAAAACCACGCGCGCGCCGAAAAAAACAACGGGGCGCCGACAACCAAAGATGAGTATTGCTCAACCGATCCCCATCCCCAGCGGCGCGGCCTGGGCCTGGGCCCCACTGGCCGATTTACCCCCCTAGATGGGGGTATAGGCCTTCCCTTCGGGTTTCGAAAGGTGCATCCCCAACTGGGGTGGTAACTTGGTCGGGGTCTCGAGAAAGATGAGGATGGGGATGGGGGTCGGTTATACGATGCTGAAAAAGAGAACGGTCGCTTCGAAGCCCCCCCTGCACAGCCGAGCCTCGAACTGGAAAATACAACGACAAGGGGGGGGGGGCGGCAGCTTCGGAAGCCGCCCCCCTATGGACTATGGAAAGCCGGGCCGGGCCTCGCCCCGGGCCCCGAGAAGGCAGAAAAGGAGGGGGGGGGGGGGGCAAGCTCGAAGGCCCCGCTCCTTTGGCAAGGGGCCCCCCAGTTACAAAATCCAAAAGGAAGGACGGGGGGGGGCAGCTTCGGAGGCCCCCCCCCCCTTTGAGAAGGGGGCCAGGGCTGACCCTGGGTGCCGGAAAAAGGGGGGGGGCGGAGCTTCCAAGCCTCGACACTTCGAGCCAGGGCCCCCGCAACTTCATAAAAAAAACACACACGGATGGGGGGCAGGCAGCTTCAGACCCCCCCCTTTTCCAGTGGTGAGGGTGATAGCTTTGAGCTCGGGCTCCCCTGGCGGTGAGAAGCGCGCCGAGGGCGCGTCCTTGTCGCATGTATATTTGTAGAGACAAAAAGACAGAACAAGAGAGAGAGAGAAAAAACAAAAACAGAAAGAGAGAGAGAGAGAGGTACAAAAACACAGAGAGAGCGAGAGAGAGAGAGAGAAAGAGAGAAAGGGACAGACAGAGACAGAGACAGAGAGAGAGAGAGAAAGAGAGGGAAAAAAAGAGAAAGAGAGAGAGAGAGAGAGAAAAGAGAGAGAGAGCGGGAGAGAGGGAGAGGGAGAGGGAGAGAGAGAGAGGGAGGGAGTGAGAAAGAGAAAAAGTGAGAGAGAAAGAGAAAGAGAAAGAGCGAGAGAGAGAGAGAAAACCTATACAAACAAAAAGCCTGGATACAGAAATAAATAATGAACGACGAACGAAGAAATAACGAGAGAGAGAGAGAACACAAACAAAACACTCAAACATAACGAGAGAGAGAGAGAGCGAGAGAGAAACACAGAGATAGAGAGAGAGAGAGAAAAGAAGAAACAACAGAGAAAGAGAAATAGAAAGAGAGAGAGAGAGAGAGAAACAAACGATGACACAAAAAGCGCGACAGAAAACATCAACGAGACGGATGCGCACACACCTGCACGCGCACGCACACGCGGACGCACCAGACACAAACAGACAGGAAAGCAGTCAACATGCAGACAAGCAGACTAGACAGACAAACCGTTTCTTCGCTGTGGTCTTGCACGAAGCGACTGGACAACAGGCTGGACAGCGCGAAGCGCAGGAACCTGAACGTAAAGCTGAAAATCAAGAAACTGGCGGCATTGAAAGGGGACCCACGTTCAAATGCAAACGTGAAGCAACCATACCAGTGACCTGAGCCCTCGCCGACGGTTTCACTAAGAGTACGAAAGGGAAAATGCGGACGCCAAGGTGTGGAAATGCAGATCTCCTGAGAAAGCAATGACCATCGCGCCTTCCCGCTGAAACCCCGGCACGCCCCATCAGACCGAGCGGTGCCTGGCCTCCAGGCGCTTCCACTGCCGCGCAGGAGTATTATTCGATGCACCTCTGGAAAACCGTACCGACATGATTCCAAACCAAAAGTTTCTGAGGCCGACCCTCGAGTCCAGGCATGCGACTCTGAGCGTCGAGACTTTCAAGCTCCTGCCCGAGATCCTGATGGTGCCCAACGTCTCCTGCATGCGAAAAAAGAAGGTGGCCCCCCACTTCGGGCACATCGGAATCGTCGCTGGCGATGTTATACGGTGCGAGCATTGGATAAGGAACCCTTAAATAAGGACTCCAAGGTCTGGAAGCCGGTGAAACTCCGATCGTGGATCGGCCATGGACAACACTGCCGCCCTCATCAAGTAAGAAATCCCCCAGTGTCTGAAGCCTCCTGGGCCCGTTCCTCGACGAAGGCACCGACCGTATTATTCTACGCTGTCGGGGGGGGCGGCGGACCCGCGGTGCCACCGTCCTCGCTGGGAACGCCGGCCCAAACTCCTCCTTCCGTCCGGATCTTCCCGGGCGGGGTCGTCGCGTGCTTCGGCGGATCGCTCCTCGCCGGAGGCGGAGAAGGCGGCGGCAGCGCAGGCCCTGCCTCCGCACGAACTTGTCCTCCTCCAGGCGCGATTTCGATCCCACAGTGATCCTCGACAAGAGCGTCACCACGGGCGCCGTCCTCTTGGGCAAGGGGACGGGCGGGGGCAGCGACGCCAACACCTTGATCCCCTTCATCTCCGTGCCATTCCCGTGGCTCTTGCTGCCGTCGCTGATTCGGTACTGCTCCGAGTCCTGCTTCATGCGCTTGTTTTCCTTGTGCTTCCTGCTCTTCCCGACACGTTTCGGCTCCTTGGCCACCGCGGTGGCAGTGGGGACCTCGGGCACGAGCTGGAAACAGGTCGCCAGAAACAAAGCTTCGAACGCCTTCTCCACACAACGGCGCAGTACACAACCCCGAACTTCGATCCCACGATGTGGCGGAGCCGCCCAAGCCAACACAAAATCTGCTGCGTCGGGGCGATCGGGAGGGGCGTCGCAGCGATCGATGGCCGCGCAGCTCGATCCGAAGCGGCGGCTTGAATAGACTGACGGACAGGCAGAGCGAAAACGGTGAGGGGGAGAGAGCCAGACAGAGAGAGAGAGAGAGAAAGAGAGAGAGAGAGAGATAACGAACAACAAAAAGGACAAGGACAACAAACACAAACAGCGGGAGATACCGCGATTTGGTGATTCCCCCCAGGCTTCACCCCGCCATTCACAGCCGACGAAAGCAGCCAACTAGGGCGGAGCGGTCGGACAACTTGGCCTGCGGGTTCCGGGCGTCCGCATCGAAAACGACCATGACGGGCACACACACACACACGCACACACGCACACGCACACGCACACGCACACACACACACACAAACACGCCTTCTCCTCCTCCTCCTTCTCCTCCTCCCCCTCCGCCTCCTCCTCCCCCTCCGCCTCCACCTCCTCGTCCTCCCCCCCCCCTC